CATATTTTGTAAAATTTTGCAAATGACATAGAGATAACATTAAATATACCTATATATAAGAGACCAGCGACGTAGCCAGAGGGGGTCCAATTTCTGAATTCCAACTCTATAGGTTCACTCTATTCAAAAATCCAATAGTGACACAAACTCCAAATTTTAGGATTCTAGCTCTTCGATTCACACAAAATTAAAATTGTACCAAATTTAGTACGCCTAAGTACGAATTTCCAAAACTACTCACATACCACAATTCTACACTCCAAAACCAATCTTAATTTCAGGATTCCAGCTCTATCGGATTACCTACTTCCATATTGTATCAAATTTGTGGTACCAAAGTACACTAAAGTAAAAATTTCCATTACAACCTGTCGACATTACGACCAATCGCTTTACCCTTAATCCAAATTAAGTACTATTTAGTGAACATATGTAAGTACGAATTTCCAAAACTATTTACATCAGGGTTTGCCAACAATACATGTGCAAACTGCTATGATTGTGTTGGACACACACATAGATCCGTTGTGATATTTATTTTCGCTATCTCGGTACAGATCGTATATGTTAAAGCATTGCAAAGCCTACAACATGTTCGAAGTCGAGAAAATGTTGATTTTGATCAAAAAATAATAATTGTATTGGTACTCTCTCAAAGGGCCAACGGGCGACTGTTTGGTGAACGCTGATTTATTTTCCTCAATTCTACACTCCAACACTAACGGTTCACCCACAATTCAAATTATACCCAATTTACTACCATTTAGTACACATAAGTACGAATTCACAAATCTATCTACATACCTGAATTCTACACTCCAACAGTAATCTTAATTTCAAATTTTCACTATTCCAGCTTTAGTTCCAGTTAGTATCGAAAATACAAATCTCTAAAATTACATCCATACCCTCTATCCTACACTCCAACAAAAATCTTATTTTTTTCCTAATTTCAGTGTTCTAGCACTATCGGTTCACCTAAATCCACATTGTACCACATTTTGTACACATAAGTAGAATTTTCCAAAACTTCCCTCATACTCCAATTCTACACCATAACAGTGATCTAAATTTCTGAATTCTAGCTCAAAAGTACGATTTCAAACATACACCAATTCTATAATGCCGTAGCAATCTTATTCAAAATTTTAGTCATCCAACTCTATCGGTTCACCCAAGCCCAAATCGTATCAAATATAGTATGTACCCTCTAGTAGTACTTTTCGTACACATATGTAAGTAAATAATTTCCAAAACTACGTGCATATCCCAATCCTACACTTCGACGATAATGTAATTTCAAATTTCAGGATTCCAGCACCATCCGTTTCTCCAAAGTCAAATTGTACCTAACATGGTACAGTTTAGTACTTTTCGTTTACATGACTACCCCACCTCAAACCATCTATTTATATCGACGCTACTTCTTAATCTTAATTCGCATACCAAATCTATGTGGGTGACTATGGACACTTTGAGGTCTGATATTAAGTACTAGACTCTGGGTTCATTTTGTACCTTTAGCATTATCACAGAATTTTTTTTCAATTCAATTTATTTCATAAACAAGAACCTAGCCCAAAGGGCCATGAGCGATTCCTAAAACTTCTTAACATGGACTACTCCAAAAGCTTAAAATTAACAGTATATCACTTAATTATATCATAAACAACAATACATGAACTACCAGAACTTGCATGAACTACAGAACCATGAACTTGCCAGAGCCCTATGGACGATTTAGCGTTCTTGTATACCATTTGCATGTTATGTTTATGAAAATTTTTACATGTTTCAAATATCTCGTTCGAATACAACACTACAAAAATCACAACATTTTCGAAACTAATTCAAAACCTTAGTTATTATTTTTTCAAAACCACGTGCCACTTATTGGCCATACCTTAATGCTTAGTTGTTTCGTTAAGTTCATACTTTCAAATACCACCAACAATAATGAAAAAAAACAATAAGTGGGTGTTTAATAAACATCCAAACAAGACCTTTATGTACTTCAATTTAAATACAGTTCTCAGCTTGAATAATTACGACTGAAGGCGATCTTTAAGACAATATTGCATTGCGGTATCTTGCAGTCAAAGACATTACAGCAGTGGCAATACGATAGTTGGCTCGTTCGCTAGCTACCTCGCTCGCTCTCCCGTCTGCTCACCCGTTTTATCTGTCATTAAATTATGGCCCGTAAACGAGAAAATCCAATCCAATGCGATAATCATACATAATGCATTGTTATGCCAGATTTTATTCCATTAAGTCCAATTAGCGTTTAATGTAAATCGTGGTATGTCATTTTAATAATCGGCGAAAATGTTCATTAATGTGGAAATGATATTTACAATGGCTTTATGATATGAAAACATATTAAAGATTTCCATGGTCATAATTAAAAAAATGGCAATATAATTGAGCGAGTGTTTGAAATAAACGTATGTATGTATGTAATAATTATTACAAATTAGAATAGTCTACTCCTTTGAATGTCATCCCAAGAGATAAACAATGGACATATGGAATGTTGCCTCAGATTAACCACTGATTTGGAAATTCTTTACACAACACAAACATTTCATTGCTAAATCTTGATAAAACAAAAACATTATTGAAATTTGTTATAACAATCTAGACATGATCGCCATTAATGATAAGACACAGAATCATAACTATGATTGATTACCTGTCATAAGAGTGCATTCCATTTGTTTAATAATTAATAATTTCAGTCCACGTCAGGTGTCAGTGGAATTTTGCATTAGCACGTTACCTACCATTCAACCATGAGAATCCTAAAACTAATTTTTCTCATGAAATAATTACAGCAACAACAACATAACAACTTGTATTTTTAACAATTACAAAAGTGTAAGTCGGTATTACGGAAGATATATACCCTCCGCCTATGTTCTACGGAATTACACACTGAACTTGACCTAGGTTTAGATACAAATCGGCCAGACAGAAAGACAAACGCACAGTGGGAAAAAATACCGATATAGCGCACAGAAAATAAAAAAAATGAACTTGAAGGAAACTTTAAAACATTAATGCAGTTTTATAGTAGAGTGTTGAGTGTACTTAAGTCCGTAAAAAAATAATCCGATTGAATAAGTTAAAACGGAATAACGGTACTTTTAAAATATATATTTTTTCACTGAATATATATTTATTTCAAATGTCTTTCTTAATTAAAAATTGAAATTACAACGAAATAGGTTGTAAGAGTCTTCTCAAATACCGTAGGGTCTACTTTATGAAAAAATATCATTGGTGTAACATTCATATATACGAGGTTTTACCTAAATGGCCTGTGGATATGCTATTAATGCAGAGTCATTTAAAGAACTTACTGAGGAAACATCTATTCGTTTCGTGGAATTATATCCTTGGTTCTATATGCCTTTAAGCATACACAAAATATTTGTGCATGGAGCTGATATAATTAAATGTGCAGCTTTGACCATAGGAATGTTGTCTGAAGAAGCCATGGAATCCAGAATCCAACTAATTCATATCAAAACTCGGATTCTGAATGTGATTAGTATTTAATAAGTAATGCCTAAATTTTATAAAATATATATATATAGTTTAATGTTTTAGGTATATAATACTAACAATAAAAAAGATACTTATAATAACAATAGTGTTTGCCCTTAACCCACTTTTTACCCTCCAAATGTTTCGGAATTTTTAAAAGAACCTCCTATATTAGGAGTACTATTATTTATAACGAAAAATGTTGCTTATAAAAAATTTTTAAAAAGCTTCAAAATAGTAATTTTCACCTAAAAATTTAAGTTTTTTCTAAAAAAAAATTCGGCGCTTAGTGGGTTAATAAAAAAATGCCAAATTTTTTCATAAAATAATTAAAATTGTCCATCTAAATCTATTCTTATCCAAAATATCGATAAACATACAGTAAAACATCTACTTTTATTTTCTGCCCGCTAGATCTGAATTTTTTCCCACAGTGAAACGTTTGTATATCGACCCAAAATGTCTGAAACGGAATTGGTTCAGAGATAATGGTAGATATTGTTCTAGATGTTTGCAGGATAAGACGCATTTTTGCCTAAGTCGAATTAACATTCTTTTCTATCTTCAATTTTGGTGATTGAACCTATGCAGAATTATTGCCTGAACTTCGCTTTTGTGAGAAAAAAAATCGGACGAAAATATATGTGGGAGCTATATCTATATCTGAACCGATTTTCACAAAACTTATCACACTTCATTCTGGACCTAATTCAAATCGAAAGATATATAGGGACTTTGGTTCCTATATCGGACGAAAATATATATGGGAGCTATAGCTAAATCTGAACCGATTTTTCCTAAGTGACTTTTGGCAAATTTCATCCAAATCGGATCATAAATGCGAAATGCCGAAGGAGCCATGTGTCTATCTCGTTTCCTTTTGCCTGTTGCAAACATATGCACAAAGACATAATACTCTGTACCACAGTGTGGTGAAGGGTAAAAAACATGAACATTCCAGAAATAAGTTTTTTATTCACCAGGAATCCGAAATGCCAAGATACAGTCACTACAGGATAAGCCCTTTTCTAAATATCGAAATTGGATGGGCTCCTTCTGAATGCCAATTTACAGCCATATGGTGGAGACATTAATTCTCGGCAATTATTTAAAGCCACTCGTCACGGTCTGCATCTATGATGCGTTCTTAAAAAATTATAGATCGTTTTTAGCATTTAGTAATCACAATTCTTGTGACCGAAACCTTACAACGGAATATCAACTGTTTTCTATATATAAACGTTTGACAATTTTTTGCAAACTTTAATAATGTAACTCTTTAAAAATATACTTCTAATATACTTTATTCAATACGAGCTGACAATTCAATTTGTTCATTTCATTTTTTACTTCATAACTAAACAATAACAAATTCATAGGATAAAAAAGATGAAAAGAAATTCCAGATTCCTTGAGAAATTAAAACTAGGTACAAAATTAAATAATACATTGTAGACAATAGTTGTTGTTGGTAAATGTATTCATGAGCAGGCCAGGCGGCAGCTGGTAGATGTAATTCATTTATTCCTGCTGTTGTCTGGTAAATTGGAAAAATTTTACATAATCCTGTATTATGGTCATTTGATTCCAGTAAAGATCAACCCATCGTGAATATGCCGTTTGATATGCCATATTCAGAGACTGTTGTTGTGTTGCATTTGTAATGGTATTCGAGGATGAAGTGTGGCTAGCCTGTGTTACTGGCCGACTATACAAGACTTCGCCAATTTGCCCGGCTGTATAATTGGTATTATTATCAACGGAATCGTATTCATCAGATCCATCTGAATCTGCTTCATATTCAGTTTCTTCATTATTCTCTTCTTCATCAGTACCGAAGTAATGTTCACTACTATCGTCCTCTTCATCCGCATCATTATCAAAATCGAAAGTAAGATCATCTTCATCGTCGTCCTCATCATCGCTGGACGTTTCATATTGGGGTATTTGACGTTGTGGACGATTACTTTCCGGTTCTGAGGTATCTATTCCCGAAGATCCTGATGTAGATGTCTTCTCATCGAAACCACTGCTATTGCCACCGGAATGTTCGCTATCTGAACCGGATTGTTGTTCGGCATTCTCTTGATTGGATAATGTAGCCACCGAACTGTCTGTTGATGAAGTGGGTGAAGGTTCTTCTAGATTATTTTCCAATGCATTCACCAATGGAGATATAGAATTGGGTGGTGATTGATATGGTGGGATTTCTATCTGAAAATATAGACAAATAATTATTGCATACATCCATTTATACAAATTTGTATTTACTTACATGTGCGGTAACATTTATGGATAGTTTTTGTCTTTGCTGTTGTTTATTCGTTTGTGCTGTTGGCCCTGGTATTATATCGGGTATAAAACCCGACATTTGATTGTGAGCTGGTGATGGAAAATGTTTGGGTTCTTTGATGGCCATTTCATGAGATTCGCTTGTAACAGTCGTCTGATCAGTAGCTGGATATAAATCTGATGAATTAATTCGTAACTCTTCCAATGAGTCTTGTTGTATTGATGGTGTTGTAACGGACATAATAAATGTTTGTTTGTCAACATCATCGGATACGGATAGTGAACTATCATCTTCATTAAAATTGGCAAAGTCCGAATATAAATCAATATTTTCTTTAATTGGACTCTTCACTACTGGCTTATCGATAAGCAGAGATTTAAGTTGAGCTAATTTGGATGAGTTCAGCACTGGACCATCGACCGCTGTTACATCATGAAGGGGCTAAAAAGACAATATTAAATTAATATAATTAATATATTGGGATTTTAGTTAACTACAATATAAGGAAAAAGAAAACTATACAGTTCTTCTGGAAGACCTCTCCAAGTCTTTATGAATAGAAGTATATCCAGGTCTTCCGCGGATAGAAGACCGTTTCAAGTCTTCGATGGATAAAGTACGTTTATATGTATTCTTTGGATAGAATACATCTATTGGTCGTATATAGCGATAACACTTCTACTTGTTTCTTGTATAGCTAGTAGACCTCTATTGAACCTCTATATATATGAAAATATACAGATTTCCAATAACACAATAGGTTCCCAATTAAACAATATATATATATATATATAAATCATCTTATGGTGGACAAATAAATACCAACCTCCGATAAGTCTCGATTGTCATTTAAAACTTCTTCGGTATAGGCATCAAATAAATCCTGATTACGTTTTGTTGGTGTATCTTGGGACGATTGACGATCAACTAGAAATTCTACAAGTGTTGGTATTGCAGACTTTTGCATTAACACCGATTGATATCGTGAAATATCCTGTTGGCTACTACGTAAACTATCAGCAGCAATACTGCTGGCATCATCAATGGTATTCGAGGTGATCAATTGATGTGTCGAATCATTATGTGAATCACAAGGTGTATTCACATTATCAGCGTTACTGGGTGCCAGTGGAGATATATCTTCATTTTGCTTACATTTATTAGGTGCTTGTGACGACTCCGTTAATTGTGGCATATTGACAGCACTATCTTTGGAATTGACCAAGAATGTGTTGGTATCAATCGAAGACTGTTGCATAGATGAAGTGTTGTTACTAAAATTTTCTTTATTTTCAGATAAAGATGGGGTTAGAGAGACATTATCCTGCGAAGCCAATGGAGCTTTAGCCGCTGGAGGATCAGTTTGATAGAGACCGAAATATTTTACATCTTCATCGAATTGTGAGAAATTCCATATGTCACGTTGATCTTTGTCTTTTTCGGCACGTGTGGGGAATTTAAGTACTTTCATGCCAGTACCTATATCAGAAATCAACTTTTTAAATGTCTGATGATCCTTGGCAGAGGCCACACAACTAATTGCCACTCCATGGGAGCCAAATCGTCCTGCACGACCAATGCGATGTAAGTACGTTACTGAATCTGTGGGTAATTCCAGATTTATGACAAGATTAACATGTTCCGAATCTACACCGCGTGCCATCAGATCTGTGGCAATCAGTATACGTGTTTTAAATTCACGAAATTTACGAAACTGTTCTAAACGAGTTTTTTGATTCTGTGCCCCCGATATGAGTTCACATGGCCAACCATCCTTTTCCAAATAGTTACGATAGGAATCTGCTCGAGATTGTGAACCAGCAAAAATCAAACATTGCTTAAATGCAAGACGACTGAAAATATGTCTCACAGCATCCAATTTCAATTGCATTTCCAAAATACTGGTTTTCTGTTCGAGCAACTCATAAACAAATTGTTTAATACCCACTAGCAGAGTGGCTCTTTCTTCGGTGGATACCAAAAGAGGATTTCTCATAATTTTTGCCAATTCCTGATCAAGATTATCCTCAAATGTTGCACTGCACGCCAATGTTTGTTTGCGATTAGGCAGGGCGTTACGAATCCTCTGCAAATCTTGACGAAATGTATTCGAGTACATTTTATCGGCCTCATCGACGACCAGCAGTTGTATTTGTGATGTATTTAATACTTCATTTTGTATCAGATGTAAAATTCTGCCGGGCGTTCCAACAATGGCTTTGGCACCTTGCACACGTTTGCGGTCTTCACTGACATCCATACCACCAATAACACAAACCGCTTTGAAACCTAAACAAAATTTACCAATGCTATTGAGGGTATCCTCAATTTGTACGGCAATTTCTCGCGTGGGTGCAATAATCATAGATTGTGGTTCCTTAATCTCCGGTGTATAGGCTTCCAAAACAATACAACAGAAAATCAAAGTTTTGCCAGTTCCAGACTTTGACTGGACCAATAAATCTGTCAAAAAAGCGGGACTAATTTATATTTTATAAGTTAATAGTATTCCACGGAACTTACCAATTCCCGATTTACCCACTGGTATGGCTGTGGCCTGTATTACTGTGGGATACATAAAGCCGGCTTGATGTAGACCTTTGCGAACTTGGTCGGACAAAAGCATTTTACTGAATGGTGCTAAATCCTTAAGGCGTATATCATCTGTTCGTGGAGATGATTCCAGGTTATGAGCTAAACCTTTGCTCTCCATTTTTGTTGTATTTTGTGCTACTGAAATCCTTTGGTGATACCTTTTTCTCTTCGTTTATCCAGACTGACAAAACAATATTCGCGAATCGCACATGTAAACAATTCACAGAATTTGCAACAATAATATTGAATAACAGGGCGAATCATTTAGAAACAGGGTGATACAAGCAACTGTGAAAGCGTAACCTCAATGAAAGCGTCAACGCCATTGGTTTGTTGTAGTCGCTAAAGATATCTTTATAAATGTTTTAAAAATAATTTATTAAATTTTTTTTGTTCTTTTTGTGGCAGTTATCAACGCCTCGACTTTAAATTAAAGTATTGAATTAATGCCATTTCGGGTACTTAGAGGATTTTAAACAAATACTTGCAGAAAGTATTCAATATAGGTCTATTTTTGACTTAGCCACATGTGCAAATATAGGCCAATTTTCGATTTTTAGCTACTTAAACGACATTTACATTAGAACTTTTTGTCGGTTTAAACTACCATATGAGTATTTGTCTTATATATATTTATATTGTCTTATATGATATTTGTCAAATATCATCCACTGGATTTGTCAACAGGATTAACGTGACATACGCAATGGAATTGACCATGATGCAATAATAAGGTGATGTATCAAAACAAAAGCCTTTGTTTTTGTCTCGATTATCTGTCAAATTTTTCCTTATAATATTTCAAATGGTTGGCAACACTGCACATCGAATTCATGTAGAAATTACCCACTTTGACAGTAAATCGAGGAATCAGCTGTGCTGATTCAAAACAAAAGCATTTGTTTTTTGTCTCGATTATCTGTCAAATTTTTCCTTATAATATTTCAAATGGTTGGCAGCACTGCACATCGAATTCATGTAGAAATTGCCCACTTTGACAGTAAATCGAGGAATCAGCTTCCTTAAATGGACTACCTATTCATTGTGCCATGGGAATTGACGTTTGAGATCGAGTGGATTTAGTAGTCAAAACTTAGCCTAAGTTTGACGGAAGTTTACTTTTATGGTGAATAATGTCGAACGCATTAAGGGGAAACACATACGATGATTTGGCCTGGCCTGTTATGTTGGCTTTGCATGAAATTTATAAAGGAATTTTTAGCTACTTAAACGACATTTACATTAGAACTTTTTGTCGGTTTAAACTACCATATGAGTATTTGTCTTATATAAAGTGGAGCTTTTTTAAATTGAACCCACCGGTTAGGGAAAGCTAAAAAACTCTTCGTAGACATTTTTCGATCTACGCTTCCAACCATGGTACACCAATATAAGGTAACAGCAAGTGTTGTTGTACAACTAACGATACAACAACCATGGTACAATTATACAAGGTAAGGAAATTGTTTTCAACAAAGAGAAAATACAACACTACCTTGTGTAATAAAATGTCAGAATAAATAAACACAAATGCAACACTCGTTCTGTTCATTTGAAATATTTCCAACATTTTACCAAAAACGCGAAACATGAATGGAATGACAGGTATGCTTTTCAAAATCAAGTTGGGAATATGATTTAGATATTGTTTTATTAACAAATCATAAATTTCTTCTTACCAATGTAGTAAAAATCATCTTTGAACAAATGGATTTTAAAATATATATTTTTTTATAATTGAGCCATTGCCACTTATATGTATAACACATGTAAAAATGCTAGAAATTTCGAGTATTTCATGAAGAAAGATTTGCTTTCTCAATTTGTCAGCTGGGTAATGCCATGTACAGACGAGCGTCGTTCGCTCTCTCATTCGTTGTTCGACCCCTAATTATGAAGTAATTACTTAGTTCCGCATACAAAATTTTCTGAGCGAACACCGACTTTTATAGGTTGTTCAATTCGAATCACACCTGAATAACCAAGAATTCTGTCCCATCCCTAACAATTGAGAGCATTTATCGAAAATAATTTAATTTTGACAGTTTGAAAATATTTATGAAATTTTCAAACTTTTTCAGTAAAATTGAAAATGATGAATGAAAAGTAACAATTTGTCTATTTTTTATATATGCAGAAGGAAGTAAATTTTGTAATCTACATAATGCAATATGCCTTTCCTTCCCTTTTTTTTCTAATTAGCGTACAAAACGAGAAACAAATGTGGGGAAACCCAAACAAAAATTCTCCAATTTTTTATATGTCACATTTGAATTGAGAAAATATAAAAAATTATTCATAGCAACAATATTTTCGGAAAAAATGGAAAACATGAATTAAAAGTAAATAGATATAGGTTCATACTATAGTCAGGAGAAAGAGAATTATTTTTTCTATTTAGATCCATATGTGATTCACGCAAATATGTTAACATTTTTGTGTAAAACAAGAAACAAAAGTTTGAAATAAAAAAACTCTAATGACATGAATTAAGAATAGTGTTGTATGAACGGGTTAATTCATGTACGTAATTCTGAGAGCGAACTACGTTGTTTGAATGCCCGTCAGAACATGGCATAAAGGTACGTTTAAATTTACGAAATCCTCTCAAATGTAAATTTCATAGCGTTTACGTCAAATATCATCCACTGGATTTGTCAACAGGATTAACGTGACATACGCAATGGAATTGACCATGATGCAATAATAAGGTGATGTATCAAAACAAAAGCCTTTGTTTTTGTCTCGATTATCTGTCAAATTTTTCCTTATAATATTTCAAATGGTTGGCAACACTGCACATCGAATTCATGTAGAAATTACCCACTTTGACAGTAAATCGAGGAATCAGCTGTGCTGATTCAAAACAAAAGCATTTGTTTTTTGTCTCGATTATCTGTCAAATTTTTCCTTATAATATTTCAAATGGTTGGCAGCACTGCACATCGAATTCATGTAGAAATTGCCCACTTTGACAGTAAATCGAGGAATCAGCTTCCTTAAATGGACTACCTATTCATTGTGCCATGGGAATTGACGTTTGAGATCGAGTGGATTTAGTAGTCAAAACTTAGCCTAAGTTTGACGGAAGTTTACTTTTATGGTGAATAATGTCGAACGCATTAAGGGGAAACACATACGATGATTTGGCCTGGCCTGTTATGTTGGCTTTGCATGAAATTTATAAAGGAATATCAGAGTCAAACTTGATCATCAATCAATCATGGTATAATAATAGAAGGTAACAGCAAGTGCTGTTGTACAACAAACGATACAACAACCACATGGAAATTTGTTGTTGTAAGTTTTACTAGTGTCAACTTTATTTGACAGAAATATGTAAACAAACAAATAAATTATCAACAAATTTTATTTATTTTGAAAATGTAATATTTTCGAATCCTCAAAATAAAATTGAAAAACATGAATGAAAATCTATCAAATGTATATTTCAATCGCTTCCACATTTTTCCTATAATTGATCCATTGCCACTTATATGTGTAACCCATATGAAAATGCTGGGAATTTGCGAGTTATTCCATGAAGAAAGATTTGCTTCCTCAAACTTTCCCAGCAGGCAGATGTAGTAAACTGAATACGGGAGGACATTTAATAAAAAAAACAATTTCGAATTGTATCCGTTCCCAATTTTCCTGTTGGGTGATTTTTAAAAACATAATTTGTCATATTCATATTGACACTAGTATTACGTTGGAATCAAATCAGCTGGGTTTTGCTGTTACCTTTTATAATTGTACCATGATTTACAATAAAATAATGGTATGTTCCCGTACTGCAAGAAATTACTAGATTTTACTATTTTCTTCGATATCATAAAGGAAAAATTCGTTATCGTAGACCATGAGCTAACTAAACCTGCCAAGTCTGAAGTCCTCTTATGTGTTTAACCCTTTAGTCGAAATGTAGGTAGTGTTCTAAAGTGAAAAAGATATATAAAACATATTGTATATGTTTTCTAGTTACGTTTACCACGAACTGGATAACCCTTATGTGGGCTTTACGGTATGTCCGAGCTTGCAATACCATTCATGTGTCAGACATCTATCTGAAATAATGCGATCTCTATCGTGATTTCAACATACTACCAAACAGACGGACATGGCTAAATTGACGCAGTATTTTACTACGATCAAGAAGGTGTATACTTATGGAGTTTCCGACGATTATTTCGAAATGTTGCAGAACGGTTAGTGGAGGATATAAGAAAGTAAGATTTTATTTCATGTTTCTATTTGAAATAATTTCCCATATTTATTTGATTTAGACTGTATATTTCTCCATTTATATATTTTCTGAAGTTCTCTTAAATGGAAATCAGTCGAAAATGCAAAATCATTAAATGAGAATTTTTTGTACTTTATGGCAGAAGAGCATAGAATTTGTGTGTAAGTGTACTTTAATATGAAACTGTCAAACTTGCTGTCCCACTTTGATAGCAATTGATACTAAATATCGTTTAAACACATATACCTATTGTTATATGGAGGTAACCTAATTGCAGAATAAACACATTTTTACGATATATGTGTTTTGAATTTACGATAGATAAATAGATGGTGTGTGAAGTCACTATTTTTTAGAATCACCCTGTAGTCTGTAAGCTAGTGTTGCCAACTAAAAATATTTAGTGAAGACAAACAACAATGATGTGTTCAGCTAGCAGACAATTGAACAAGCGTGCACGATATTTGTTGTTTAATTTACGATGCCTATTTCGTACTATAGAATAAACTAGTATAGAAACCAGTACGGGAGCCCTTTCTTAATAATGCTGTAAAATCGGTACTTAAGGAAGCACAGATATTTTTTAGCCATAACTGTAGTAGGTGGATGGTTTTAAAAGTTTATCGATAAATTAAACTACCAAACTTTGTATTCAATATTTTTTATTTATATTTAATATTCGTATTATAAACAAAAACATGGCAATCAAGCAATTTTATAAATATATAAACATAACATGTATAATATTAATACGATTTCTCTATGTGGACTTGGCACAATTCGCTTGGATGACTTTAAAGTAGTTATAGGAAAATTTAACTGCGATTCTGAATTTATAATTATTTCTAACTAAATTTGCGATTTATTGGTTCTAAAAAAATATTATATACTTTTGACTTTTTGAATTTATCTACAAGTTATTGATAAATTCTATATACATTGGCATATTATATATAAAATATATTTTTTATTGTTTCATTAATTAAATGACTTTATAAATATCACAAATTTATATTGAATTTTTTATGTATGGTTTTGTATTTTACAACAATTATAATTTCAATAAATTATTAACAACAAATGACATAGATTTAGTCCCCATAGCATATAGTATGGTAATACCTTAGCACTTTCACTAATCTAATCTAGTGACTAACTTAAAACCTATAGATAGTTTTGTGGAATGTGTATCCTAAAAATAGTTGTATATTTTTATCTGTGGTAGTTGTGTGAATACTTGTGAGTTAATGACATGCATGACATGGCTTGCTCAATTAAAATATTTTTATTCAATAAACGTTGCTATAATTTCAGCCAATGATGTGTAGGTACCGATTACCAAGCCCAAGACGCCGACAATTATTAATACAGTGTTGCCTGTAAAGAGATAGGGAAATGTATTATAAATATTTAAAATTAAATACGAATTCACTGCTCTTTAGATTTATCTGAAAAGTTATTAAGATAAATAAACCAATTACAAGATAGATAATTTCTCGATTAGGTTGAAATTCGATACGTTATAAGTAAGTTCGACCAAAGTTTTCTGTATATACTTAGGTTGTAATTCGATACGTTGTAAGGAAGTTCGACTATAATTTTCTGTATATACTTAGGTTGTAATTCGATACGTTATAAGGAAATTCGACTATAGTTTTCTGTATATACTTACTCAAAATCAACCACACTTTAGCCTTTCCATGTGTATTATACCAATGTGTAGAAATTTGAATTAAGGCAGGGAAACCTAAGCCCAATGCTGACAGACACAAAGCACCAAATAGGGAAATGAATAATTCTAAATTTGGTATAGCCACAGCCAATAAAACTAAAATAAAAATATCAAATTTAATATTGTACATTAAATAATTTCGTTATTTCATACTTACATGTAACCAACACCAAAAGGGTTCGTACAACATATTCCCAGAATATTTTCGAACGCTGTGGTCCCAATTTACGGGCAACATAATCATTCCAGGTGATATCAATGGCTACATAACAGGCCAGACCGTGGGTTATGAAAATGGCAAATGCCAACATTCCCTTGACACATTGAGCCAAACTGTAGAGGGGAGAAATACATAAATTGTTAGTACTTAAATTTCCATATTTAGTTGTAAGGAAACTTACACTTCCTTTGCTGGTAAATTGAGAGTAATGGAACCCTCAATTTCATCGCCATAGCTGAGATAACCGAAAAGACCCATACCAACATAGAGGAATACAATAAAGACCATAGAAATGTTGAGTACACCACAGGAACCACCAAATTTATTGGGCGTCTTCATTTCATTTTCCAAGGGGAGAATAACACCAATAGCTGTAAGGAAAGCAATAATATTTGAAATATTATTAAACATGTAAAAACGTCATGATGATAAGAAAATATTAAATAAAAAAAATCGGGAAAATGGGTACCGAAAATAAATCGGGAAAATGGGTCGGCATATTTACATTAGTTTTATGACAAACATAGGCCCAAATATAATTTTTTTTGCAAACATATTTCTTTCAACTTCCAACAACACTAAATTTTAAACACTTTGGCCGTATACTATGGCCGTACAAAATCAAATGATTACGCACTGTATTATAGCTGCCATGAAACGAGACATGGATAGGAAAATAGAAGACTTCGTCGTCGGATTCACTCCAGTAGATGAGCGAGTTGCTATAATCCGTATAAAAGAGAAGTTCTTCTACATCAGTCTCATTTGCGAACGAAGACAAAGATGACAGACCAAAAACATAATCTATGAGCGCCTGGAAACAGCATGACCGCTGCCGTGATCAAGACATTAAAATTCTGCTAGTAGATTATAATGCATCTTTGGTGCCATCGTTGAGAAATTGAGTCTGATTGATTCCGCGTAAACAAAAAACATGTTAGTTAGAATCACCAGATTCAAGCACCTTGATATACACAAACCCACCCGGCTTTCTCCCGATCATCATCAAATCGTACTGTCTTGGTGCAGCCAAGGTTCGCATACGACTTAATATAGCAGTAAAGGTGAAGGTGACTGAAGCCAACGGTCAATGTTATTCTTTGATCCACAAATCCATCATACACCACATATTTGAACTACGCCAAATCCTGGAAAAGTCCCACGATACTTCACCTATTCGTCGACAATAAAGGCACAGCCAGGTCTGTGTTCGGCAATCCTACAAAATTGATACGGCTATGCAGGATAACTTTAGCTAGCACAAGATCAGCGGTTAAAGCCGGAAAAAGACTTTTCGGATCCCTTTAAAACCGAACAAGGGTTCAGACAAGGTGCTAGCCTATCGAGTGATCTATTTAACATCGTGCTGGAAAAGGTCATACGCGATGCGAAGGTAAACAGAAATGATACTTCGTACACCAAACCGCATATGCTACTCGTCTACGCCGATGACTTCGATATAATACACGATCTATATCCCACCTTACGGTACCTCCTATTATCCGCTATTTCAGGAACATTTTTCAACCGAATGGACTGTAATTATTTATTTTTACGTCTTATCTGGTGGTAAACCTTTCTATCAAAAATTAATAATATCGGTCTAAGCGGCCTTTCAATGGGTTGATATTTTGAATAATACGAAGTGGCAATAATTTGCTATTCCGGGAAATTAGTATGTTAAAATCTTATTAACAGAACATATTTAATATAAGTCCGTGTTTCTACATAGTTCACGGGACTGTTCAATGTACTAGCCCAATTTTCGAATCTGGGTGTACTACATTTGTACTACTTTTTGAGATAACCTTGCAAAAATGTGTTTCATAAATCTACGTTCCATTCTCAGATAGCCTGTCAGAAAATATTCCTAAAAAACAACTGTTTCTGAAATAGCCTTTACAAATATTTTTAAAAATTCCACGCTTTGAGTATTTTTTATTTTTTATATATTTATCGGTTTGATGAGCCGTGAGGAATATTGTTCAAAACCCATACTAATTTCTTCGATGGATTTGAATATAAATATTAAATTTTATCATCTTACTTACCCTCTAGAGCGAATAGTACAGTTCCAAAGAATAACGGAAATCCACTGACCGGAGCAAATGCTTCTTTACCTTCGGTACTAAGGGGATCACGGAAAATATAATAACAGATAATACCGAATGACACCATTGTTATGGCATTGGCCAATGTTGAGAATGGAGCTAAATATTTCAAATTACGAACGTAATTAATTAAAATCAATGGCAACAGAATGATCAGCATGCACAGGCGTACATCCACCGGCTCGTCGAGATAATAATCTGCAACCGATTTAATATTGGACGCAACAAAGACCACATATACGCAACAGGTACCCAATTGATAGATTAACAAAAACGTATTCACCATTGTGCCAATGTAGGGGGCACATTTACGGAATATCGCTGGACCTTCATTCATAGCCTCTTCGGCAACTTTGGTATAGCCCATAGCAGGGACCTGTAATTTTTTGTTTAAATATGAATAATGTTTAAAAAATGTGTTCGTGTTTATTATGACTCCTTACTTACTTTTCTACGTTTACACAATTCATATTCGGCCTTAACCAGCTGATGTATGCAATAGGTGCAGATTGCGCCAATCACAATGGTGCCAATGGCGCCCAATACATAGCCAGAATTTTTAAAAGCATTTGGCATGGCCAATATACCGGTACCCAGAGAGCCTTTTAAAAAGTGAAACATAGTCTCGGCATTGCTAAAAAATTGAAAATTGTTTACAAAAAATTGTTTGCTAAAAATTAAAAAAAACTTACGTTGTGGGATGCTCAACCTTACGATGTTGAAACGGATCATATTCATCGATACCATTTGACTTTATGGCATATTTATCACCCTTCTCCGCCAACTCCAGTGAATACTTTTTGGATGGTTTATCCGACACATCTGCAACATAGGCCGCATTGGTATGTCCATTTTTTGTCATTATTATCGATGGTAAAGGTAATTCTCCGAACCGATCGCCTTGAAAAACAGAAAAACACGTCAACACTCTTGGCTTTTGTTGATCGCAATGTTCGTTCTATGCTCTATCCCCAAAAGAAATGTGGATAAAAACAAGAGTGCGATGAGCTATAATGTAAAGCGAAAAAAAATAATTAAATAATTAACATATTTATTTTTGCAAATATTATTTTGCATTTCATGAACTGAAATTATAAATAAAATCGAAGAAGACACCGTTCTAGACGAAGACGCCAACGACTACCGCATCCTCATGATCATGCATTTACCATCGATATAATAATGGTGGTCTATGAAGATAATTGCATACGCACAGTGTTACGAAAATAAAGAAAATTTAATTTTTATTGTTGTAAGGACAAGTTGTTCCTCTGAAACGCATTATAAAATATTTGACTTATTGCATTGAAGACCCTTGATAAATATTTGCATTAGGAAGTGCTTATTGTTTAAAGAGATTCTAAAAAAATGGAAAAAACACTTCTTAAAAAGCACGAATTGTGCTCTAACGGTCTTAAAATATTATTAAAAAAATCCTCGTATAATGCTTTGGCTGACCTTGAGAAAAAATCCAAGGATATCGGTTTCACAGCTTAAAAAATATGTTTAAAAAATCCACATTAATGTTTTTGAAGGACCTAGAAAACATATTCCTAGAAACCCATTCGGTCGACCAAACGAACCTATTAAAACTCCACCAAAAGATGGACTTTCAAATTACTTTAAATCGATCGGGACTTTTATATGGGGGTTGTGCCAGGGTAAATTTCCGCCAGTAGAAACTGAAAAATAAAACTACTGGTACTCAGATTTTAAATATTCGGTAACAGTATGAATATGGCAAATGAGGTGTGGGAAGCATATAAAACCAGTAAGGAAAGTAGTAAAGTCGGACGGGGCCGACTATATGATACCCTTCACCACTATGGTTATATTAAACAGGACTATTAGCATGAAATTGGATGAAATAAAATATGTGATATTTATCTAAATGTGAATCTACCTAGATCTATCCATAAAGTATGTAAATCGACTTCAAACAACAATATAAATAGGTCATCCGTTGGGCTATGTCTATACTTCTAGAAAACGCAACTATATAATTTTATGCTCAATTTTGTACGATGTGCAAACTTTGATGTCAATCTGACGAACATGAGGAGTTTGATGCCCAATTTACTTGAAATCGGACGAAAATATATATGGAAGGTCTATCCAAATATTAAGCGATTTCAAACAAACTTGTCACAGGTTAGGTTGTACCGATTTCAGAACGTTTTGTTCCTATTGGTTCCTTGGTGCGTCAATTACTTAAAATCAATCTATAATAAAAGGGAGCTATATCTATCTAAATCGGGACAGATTTTCACGAAACTTGGCAGACATCATTCTAGACCTAAATGATTAGGCTGTACCAAATTTCGTGCAATCGATATATAGGGACCGTTTACATTAAATCGGTTAAATATATATATGGGAGCTATATCTAAATCTGAACCGATTTTTCCCAATTTCAATAGGGTTCGTCCTTGGGCCTAATAAGTGACCTATGTCAAATTTCATCCAATTCGGATCATAAATGCGACCTGTAATTTGTTTACAATTTAACATGGACAGACGGACGGACGGACGGACATGCATAAATCGACTCAGAAAGTGATTCTATGCATATTCTCAAAAGGAACCATTGGTCTATCTCGATTATTTTTGCCTGTTACAAACATATGCACAAAGACGTAATACCCTGTACCACAGTGTGGTGAAGGGTATAAAAATCCTTGAAATATCGAAATTGGGGTTAACGTGCTCTATACCAAATCTTGGACCGATGTAGTAAAAATTATACCATTTGGTTGAAAGTTTTACGAAACATATATTTGTTTTAGTAAGCAGATTTTTGTAGGTTCATATATTCCAAGGGAAAACGTAGTTACGCTCAGTCTGTACGAACTTTTTTTTATCGGGAAACAACAACTTCAAACACTCAGATTGGTAAACTGTTTGGAACTAAGGAGTTACGGTTGAAAAACATGTATGAAATTAGGTTCACAGTGCCTTATACCAAAACTTGGATCGAAACACAACATTTAAAATGATTTCACACCCACTGAGTACCTGAAATATCAAATTTGAGCCCATTCGGTTGTAACATTTTGGCAAAAGCCCCAAAATAACGAATTATGGGGGATATATTTATTATATTTTGGTCTGTTTTTTTCTCTCTAGAGGCCACAAATATGACCGTAACATCACGAGAAAGGGATCTGACCATAGAATAAGCAGGACTGCTTTGATAAAGATCGGCCAATTTTTAGCTAGTCAAATGAACCCAGACTTTTGTGTATTCTAGGGTGAATATATTTATTTTTGAATATTTTTGAACATAGACCCCAGATGTCGGTAATACATTCATGAGGAGTGGGTAACCCACTTAAATTGATACCTAATTTATTGTCTTATCTACTCAGATGTGGGAGTTGTACTTACAGATTTCCGATATTGTTTAGTATTACCATTGCCACATTAGAGGACATAAATTCGACCTGATGGCTAGGAAATTTGGTCAAGGACTATGCGCATAATTATCGATGATAACCAAATAACATTTCGGGATATTTTTTTGTCAAGTTATCTGACATAATTTTTTACTTTGGGAAAACATAATTCTGAAAAGATGCCGCACAGGAGCTGTGGACCTCTAATCGGTCAAGAGAATGCAAATATCGCGAAATATTGCCCAATTGCCTCGAAATAAAGATCGCAGAAACTGTGGTAGTTGAGTAGGCTCGGCCCCCTTCCGACTATTATTGGCCGTCCGACTATACCCCTCCTCTTACTGATTTTAATTTTGAAAATACATAAAAATATCACATTACAGCCAAATAAATTGAAAACTTCCGAAATATCGGAGGTGTCGTTATATTGGGCTACTCTAAAAGTCATAATGTTTCATAGCAAGATTTACCTCCCAACGAGAACCTAAAATTAGAGTTTATTCGGTTAAAAACGTGCCCAAAATCTCAAAATAAAGGAGATACCTACCTCGTCTAATTGATCTTGGTCTAACATTGACGATTTTCTATCAGAATCCAACATACACAATAACATACATTTTGATTGAAAAACTCTACAAAACATCGAAATTATGGGGATATATGGGGGCTACCTTAAAATAGGGCCAATATTGATCATTTTTGGTAGGCCGATATATTCCATTTATAATACCAAAAATCCTAGGGGTATGTGCAAAATTTCACTGAAAAATCTATGGCTAAAAATGGGTCTAGAATGTAGAAGGACCGCATACCGAAAATGTGCGGGACCAAAATATTGACCTGTATTGAAAAATTCCATCCAAGAGGGAAAATCCGAAAAGAAAATATAGTAAAGGGTAATGAGGAACGACAAAACTTGGACAATTTCAGAACGTGGACCTATACTGAAAATGTTCTCCAAATATATTTTTCAACCTCCAAGAATCCATGGTCTGATATATTCTACTTTCAATACCAAACATCTTAAGATATTTAAGTTTAAAGGCGAGGGCTATACCGTGTACCAATATTGAAAAATGTTTTTCATCCTCCATGATTTCGGAAGGCAGAATGACAGGCACTTCGTTTGCAAAATGGATCTGAAGCTCAGAATAGGACCTATGTAAAAAAAAAGAGACCAATATTGACAATTTGTTGCGAAAACAGTTTTTATCCATCATTAAGCCGGAATACGAAATTACGGCTATGTTGATTGAAAACATATGTCATATAAAAATATGGTGCAGGACCTGATTGTGGGAACTATTTCAAAATATGGATCTATATTGAACATTTTCAGCAAACAAGTTGCTCACCCTAAAGAAGCTTGTACGCCATGTTACAACCTCTTCGGTGGGAAAATGAGGCTGAAACCTCCAAACTAGCTAAAATGGGAAGGTGCCTTCCTAGGAGTAGTAACAACTTCAACTTATCGTACAGGCTATACCAACAATGGCAATTACTTAGATATGCATTTTAAAAAAATTAAACTGAAATCTCGAACTAATCCAAAATACTGTGTTGTTATTGCAACATTTTTTCTCAAACACGATTATTATTATCGTACATTGACGTTAGAACAGTTTAAAGGAAGGAAAACGCTTACTAATTCCCATTTAATGCGCTATGATCTCTTCAGTCCACCGCCTTGGCTGTGCCATCTACATCACATTACATTTGAGAATGAAATGTGTAGGAAAAATTTTGTATTTTTATTTCGATTTGTTTTCTCGCATTTAAAAGAAATGCGCGGGATCTCATTATGTATGTGACAGTGTGTCTATGTTTATGGTGACAAGTTATTTGGACAGAATGGCCAGCGACGAAGACAGCAAGAAGAAGAAGGTTCGGTGCATTGTGTAGTTCAACGATTTCTAAGGTGCTTGTCACTGCACATAGCTGAGGCTAAGTTGGCTGGCTGGCTGGCAAGCACTTTTGGCATTGATAAGTGAAAATTACCCCAGTACCCTCTTGGCCTAGTAAATAGATTTTTGAGGCGCTATCATTTGTATTGTTGTTTTTGTTTTTTGATAGTTTGTTTTCTGTGTCGTTCTATTTCACGTTTACGACGAATGTTTCAATGATCAATGCCAATGTTATTAGGCAGCACGAGTTTGTATTTTTCAGAGATTCTCAAATCGGCGGCTATTCACTTTTATTAGACTTTGCGACGAAATAGGAAATCTTGTAACGTGCACTGCAATTTTCAATCACTGGCTGGTAAACAGTCTTATTTTTTGTGACTATTCTACCAGTCAGTCATTATAATTCAGCGGATTTTCAAACACATGCCCAAAATTTTAAATTCTATGATTTATTACAAGATTCAGATGTATAATTGGATTTGACACTTAAATATATTGGTTATATTACTTAATTGTTGGCATACAGAGTGAATCGCCTGTTAGACGTTTATGGTCTTTATTTTTAAAA